TGTTGCTGATGTTCCTGGTTGGGTTTTCTGCTATTTTCAGCTTAAAGCATCCTAATGTATTATATTATAATGTTATACTTCCACTTGAAGTAATGAAATAGCCTAGCTTTCCCTTCAAGATTAAATTGTGTCCTCAAAAAAAGTGTTTACTAGAAGCTGCCTATGAGTTTATTGCCCTTTGGGACGTCCGGGTGGCTCAGTCGGTTAAACGTCTGCCTTCGGCTCAGGTCATGATCCCAGGGTCCTGGGATCGAGTCCCACATCGGGCTCTTTGCTCAGCAGGGAGCCTGCTTTTCCCTCTGCCTGCCGTTCCCCCTGCTTGTTCCCTCTCTCTGTCTCTCTGTCTCTGACAAATAAACACATTACTTAAAATCTTTAAAAAAATAAAAAAATAAAAAATAAATGTTGCCCTTTATGCTCCAGTCTATGTTGGAGGAACCTGCTAAAGACTTGCAGATGTGATCAGAGATCTCACTGGCAGGAGAGAAGAGCTATCTTGAAAACCTGTGGTGGATTGGTAGCTTGTGCCCAATACCGTATCCTAATACTATATATACCCCAGGTATGCTACCTGGGGAACCAGGCACAGTCTTAGATTTAAAATACTCATATTCATTGAACTGCAAATGATCTAATTTTCAAAGGATCTATTGAGCCTAGAAAGTTGCCTTTGGGTTGTGATCACTGTCTACAAGCCTAGTGTAGACCCCCTGAGGCACAGTCTACTAGATCCCTGCCTCTCTCACTACGGAGCCCACACTCCTCTCAGGGTGTTTCCCCAGCAGCACTCCCAAGTCTCTCCTCTACTGAAATACTTGATGCTACTGTCTATTTCCCTCCCACCTTTGTTGTCTGTATGCTTCCCACCCAAGAGGGAATAGCTGGCCAGATTGCTTTAGCAGATGCTGGGGAAAATAGAATAGAAACCAAGGTCATCTTATTCTTCATTTTCTTGCTGTGGGATTTGGGAGCACCATCTTTTGGTGAGCAGATGCAGATTCCCCGGAATCATATGTGACACTAATACATTCATTTATTCTCTTTTTTGGGGTTCCTGAATTTTTGTTGCTGAATTTCTCTTTCCTCCTTTCTGACCCACAAAGGGCACTTCTTTGATTGTCAGCCTTTTCTTACCTTCCTAAATTGAACTTCCTCTTAGCTTCTTCTGCCCTTTCTCGACTGCTCACAACTAGCTCCTTTACCCCCAAATATCTCTTTTCCTTTTTTTTTTTTTTTTCCCACCAGAGACCTGTTATTTTCCTTCCAACCTTCCTGGAGCGTCTGTGTGTACACCTGGAATTTCAGCAGTTTCCTAGAGCTCTCCTGTCTTAATTTTGGGAAGTTGCCATGTCTTAATCTGTGCATAATGTTTAGCCTCACCCCCAGAATGACCACTAGCACCTCGGTTCTCACATAAGCATGATGAAAGATGTTAAAATTGCTCTGAAAATAGTTTTCCTTGTTAAGGTATTAGACTGAAAGATTTTGTGTTCTTCTATACAACTACAACATTTATGGTGAGACATAACCTGCTTATCTTGTCAAGAACAAGTCCCCTACCTACTGTCACGACGAACTTCCCTTAGTGTTTCTTCATTGCATTTGACAAATCCTGTCACTCACCGTCATTCAGGATGAACTAAAAGAAAACATGAATGTGGGGCACCTGGGTGGCTCAGTCATTAAGCGTCTGCCTTTGGCTCAGGTCATGATCCCAGAGTCCTGGGATCGAGCCCTGCATTGGGCTCCCTGCTCTGCAGGAAGCCTGTTTCTCCCTCTCCCACTTCCCCTGCTTGTGTTCCCTCTCTCGCTGTGTCTCTCTCTGTCAAATAAATAAATAAAGTCTTTAAAAAAAAAAAAAGAAAACATGAATGTATGTGAGGACAGAGTTCCAATATGGAGTGTAGGGTGTTGCTGGTCTTGACCTTCAGATTTAAATATACCCATGATATAAAAATGCTGTTTTCCAGATAGATATGCACATTTTTGGTTCTACATACTTAAAATAAGAACAGGAGGAAAATATTTAACCCATGCTGAAATTCCTAAGTATTTTTTAACATCTGTTATAGGGCAATTTTATCTTCCTGAGTGAGGGCCAAAATACAGCTAGTGAAGACAATATTTTTCCTTCAAGTCCCTTTCAGCTTTGCACCCATTTTTATCACCAATGTGCATTGTTTTGTGCTGGGTTGGTCAAATATCCAGTGCCCTTGCAGGGAGGACAAGTAAGATTAGTGAGGAGTTGGGCCTGAGAAGTGAGTGGCAGAGCAGAGGCACAACATCTAGAAGGTGCTGCAGACACTGGTTAGAGAGGAGAGACCAGAAATGGAGGAGCTGGCTTCATGAGACTTTAAGCAATTCCCAAAAAGAGGCGAGAGGAAGAAACTGCAACATCTTTGAGAATCTTCAGGTACGAGCAGAATTGCTTGGAACAAAGCATGGCAGGGCTGGTCGGAGGTTGATCTCACTGCCTCTGTATGGGATCTTCTCAGCTGCGGTGCCTACTGGACCAGAGGCTCCAGGAGCATCAGCAGTCTGCATGCTTGGCACGAGTCCTAGCTCTCTCCATGGGCACTGCCAGCACCAGCAAGGAGATGGCTTTGTCCTTAAGAACTCGGAGGAAAGTAGATGCTGTTGGGAGGGGTGCTGGAGGAGATGGCGCAGCTGGGCAGAGAAGTACAATTGAGCATGAATACTTGCTCAAGAGGAAGCCAACCAACCAGCCTAGAAGTGATATGGTATGTTGCACCCCCTTCCGTTTTATGGAAATGAAGGTGCATGATGGATAAATACATTTTCAAGCGATCCTGTCACAGAGTCAGAATTGCAATCTGGACCCTGCAGTGCTCCACTTTCTGGATTATCTGTAGCAAGTGTGATTACTTCTAAGGATGAATTTCCATGGATCAAAATATGTTGTGCTGGAAGTGAGCATACCTTTAAGATGCTCCAGAGGCTTCTGGCATGGAGCAGAGAACATGGGCATGAGCATGGGTATGAGATTAGAGCATACTTGGTCTCTGCCAGGGTGGCCTAGTGTAGTAGCCACAGAATAGTAATGGCTGACGCGCGGCGCTTCTCCAGCAACAGGTGACTCTCCCCTGAAGCAGTGTGAGCTCTGCATTTGAGAAGCGAACCACACTACATAGACTGGAGCAGCAATCCCTTTATCTTCTGAGATCTGCCACTGATGTCACGCAGTGAGAAGGAAGGGACTCATGGTGGGGGATGGTCAGGCCAACCCCAAGGAGGTATTGGTATTATACACTTAGAGTCCTCAAGCTGCTACGGGTAAGCAGAACTCAGCAGTTCCAAGTGTGCACTCCCGAGTTCTACCTGTGAGTTCAAAGCCCAGCTCTACTATCTTATAAACTGGGTAGCTTTGGGCAAATTAAAAATTTAATTTCTCTTGGCTTTAGGCTTCTTAGTGTAAAATGGACATAGTAGTAGTACCTCTGTTTTAGAGATATTGTGAAGCTTAACTGAAAAAAAGTGATATAAATGTATTATTATGGTAACAATTACCGGACATATATAAGAATCTGATGGATATTGTTAATAAGTCTTGGTAGAGGATTGCAGGGATCTTCCCCTGTGATTTGAAAATCTGACTCTGGTATCTTAGGTTCCATTGTTTTCTACTCCCTCCTAGAACAATAGTTAAAGGAACAGGGTTGCAGACAGAGTGGAAAGCTTACTCAGGTGGCCATCTGGCAAGGGCAGGGGGCCTGGCATACGTGCCTGTGTCCCAGTGCTCTTGTGTGGGGTGTTGCTGGGCTCTGCTGTGAGGCCACTTGGCTAGTCTGGTCCCGGGGGCATCTTGCACTTGACTCTGCCATTGGAGTTGACCTGCCTGGACTTTGTTCTTGGTGCGTCCAGGACCCAGTGCTCTTTTTTGCTGATTCAGGTCACCTTGGTGTGGCATACCTGTCTGAGTTGCACCTACAACCTTCATCTGATTCCTGGTTTAAGTTGAACACTGTACTCACAGCATGCCCTCTGGCTCCCAACTCAGCTGCCTTCCCAGTCCTTCATGGGATATATGGTGACAACCAGGTCTCAGCCAAGGGGGAGGCTCAGAGGGATAACCAAGGCCCATTGCCACCTAACCCCCATGCACCACTATTTTTAATCTACAGTGAGCCTTTCTTAAAGGAGCAAGCCCACTCTGTGCAGCTGTTCCCTCCCCAAGTTCCAACAGGGGAGGGGCCAAAACCTCCGCAGCTTCCTGTAATCCCTTCAGTCTCTTAAACTTCAATTTCCTGAATTCAAGCCCTAAAGGAGCAAACCAGAACATAGGTACCCTTTGTCTCTCTGGTCCTTGTTCTTAGACTCAAAGGTGATATGTAAAAAAAAAAAAAAAAAGCTCCAACAGTAGGAGAGTAGAAGGGAAATAATGTTTGGGAAGTGTGGAAAAAATGGTCTAGGGGAAATCCTTCCAATCACTAGATGGGTACAATTGTAAAAAGAAGATTTTGACCCCATCAGTAACGATTAGAAATGGAATTTCTCTTGGGGCACCTGGGTAGCTTAGTCGTTGGGCGTCTGACTCTTGGTTTCCGCTCAGGTCATGACCTCAGGGTTGTGAGCTGGAGCCCCGCATTGGGCTCTGCACTGGGCATGGAGCCTGCTTGAGATTCTTTTTCCCTCTGCCACTCCCCCACCAAAAAGAAAAAAAAGAAAAGAAATGGAATTTCTCTCCTGTCAAGAATCTCCTGCAAAATGCAGCATACGCAATTATAAATGCTGCATGCATTTCAAATCAGAGTATTTGAGATTGGTCACTGAAAAGATAACTTGATATGCCCTGAAATCTGACACTCCTGCACAAAATACCTGACAGGGATCTCCCCAAATTTGACAATAATCCTCAAAATTCACATGAGATCAATAAGAAAATATTAAAAGCTGACGGAGACTTTTAAAAACTCAATAAATAAGAACTTCATTAACTATGCTAGAAGAAAAACTAATTTGTCTTTCCATTTTCTTTTCAGAAAATGATATCCCCAGATTGGTATACTGTGAAGAGCCAATCGAAGACTGAACAGCCACAACTTCAGAAAAATAGTTTTAGAAAGATATGTCATAAAGTGAATTAATAAAAATATTATTTTTCTGTATGTTTGTGGTATGTGTTAGCTTTATAAAATTTGTGATTTCTCTTCTAAATAAGTATTTACTTTTACATCTAATTTTGGTTCAGAATTTTTTTTTCTGAAAGAGGTTCCCCAAATTTGTGGATGGTTTAGGCCCCACAAATCCTGGATCTGCTCCTGATGGGTGCTGCATGACCAACAGTCTAATTTACAATGATCACAATGGATATTTGGGCACGCCTGTGGGAACATGCCCTGCAAGTGCATGCCATTTAACATTCATATCACTGTTAAATAGAACAAAATGGCAACAACAAAAAATTAAGATCCACTGTTCTACAGCAGAGGCAAACAAGTGACTTTACTGGAGTGATTACCACCATCCTGAATTCAGTGTTTATTGTTGCTACGTACTTGTTTGTTGTTTTGGCACATAGATATTTTTATGCGTTGGTATCATACCATGCATAGGCATCCTGGTTATCCATTGCTGTATAACAAATTGCCCCCAAACATAATGCCTTACAACAACAATCATTTCATTATGTATTATGATAGCTCACCTTCTGGGAGGGTGATCAGGGCAAGGTTGAAAGATAAATATTTGCTGGGCCAATCAGGTGGTGGTGGCATTACCTGCTGACGTTTCAGCTCGAGCGAAGAATGGTTATGGGAAATAGAAAGAGGGAGTTCACTTTCTGAGCACTTGTACTTGAAGACAGACCCTGAGAATAGGAGGGAGGGAGAAGTGGCGTGGGGCTTGGGGAGGTGTTTGAGGTGAGGTGCAGATCTGTCAAAATATAACGATGAAACTACTCTAGAAGGATTAAATAGGTTACAACAAAGACAATCAATTCTAAGGGCATTGTCAAGGTGGAATGCTCTGCCTGCCAACTAGCCAGTCAGATTTGGGAGCTTGGAATTAAGCTTGGGTGTGCGATAAGAAAGATTTGGCTGCTTTCCAGTTACAAATAAAATATGTTGATTGTAATAGGTCGCTGTAGATATTGTCCTCATCTTAAAAGAAGCTAAAATATGCAATTCCTTCTGAGACGCCTGGATTTCCCACTGACTTCAAAGGCATTCCTGAAGTCTGGGGAGTGATGGGGAGGATATTAGGTGTACCCAGACAGGCTCCTTAGAGAGGATATCATTGTCTGCCCTGTTCTCAGAGGAATAGAAAGCACACGGCCGTGTTTCCTTCAAGCCACAAGCCCATTTTGTGTATCATGATGGCTACATCGACTTCCTTGTTACTATTTTTGAAAAAATGTGATAGAATATGATAATCATCCCTAAAGAGTTCCTGACAGTGTTCTTTTCTTTTGTACGTTGATCTTCACTTAAAAACTGGGCTCTGTCTACTTTTCCAAGTATTCTCAAGCAAGTCCAGTTCACGGATTTGGATTTTTGTTGCTCCTACTGCTGACCTACTTTAGTGACAGCAAGACACGTATGAATTCTGTAAAAGTCATTCAAGTAGATGCTCTCGTTGCATTTAGGAGAGTGCTTGTCAGAATGCTCATGGGCACCCTCGTCCTGGACTTTGAGGGGTGTCTTATCTCCACTCCAGCTACCTGAAACAGTCTCCTGGACATCCAGAAGCTGCTTCTAGCTACTTAGTGGTCTATAGAAATGGCTTATGATGATAGAGTTTTCAGTGCCTAGCCTTAAGACCAGTGTGTAATCTGGAGATACATGGTTAAGAACACAGGATCTGAAGGCAAACAGAGCTGCATTTAAACCTTCAGCTCTTCAACTTACTCGTCATGTGGCTTTTTTTGTTGTTGTTAAGATTTTATTTATTTATTTGACAGAGAGAGAGACACAGCGGAAGAGGAAACACAAACAGGGGGAGTGGGAGAGGGAGAAACAGGCTTCCCGCAGAGCAGGGAGGGGAGCCGGATGCAGGGCTCGATCCCAGGACGCTGGGATCATGACCTGAGCAGAAGGCAGACGCTTAACGACTGAGTCACCCAGGTGCCCCTCGTCATGTGGCTTTGAACAAATTATGTGACCTTTTAAAACCCGGGTTTCTTCTGTCAAAGGCTGATGATGCCAATAATACTTGTCTCATTGAGGTATTTTGTAGATTAAATGAAATTATGAATAGGTATTATTATTAATTATATTTTTGCTTTTCCAGTCTATTCCTGGACTCAAAAGAGCTGCTTCAGTGGAGCAATAATCATGATGGCTATCACTTATTACCATGTGCCAGCCACTGGGCTAAATACGTGATCTACATTATCTGTAATCATCATGACAAACATGCTAGGAAGAGACCCTTATGTTACAGCAGAGGAAACTGAGGGTCAGAGAGGCGAATTAACTTCCTCAAGGTTACAAGCTGCAGAGCTGGGGTCTGAACTCCAAAGTTGGTGTTCTTTTTCACTAAGCCACACTGATGCTAATGTATCCCAGTTCAAGTCATTCTCTCTCAGGTTCAGTGTGGATTGGAAGGGTTGTTATTTCCCTCTTGCTCTAGAGAAAAATGGACACCTACGATTAAGCAGCAAGCCGAGGGGGAAACTCATCTGTCCACAGTGTTCCATATAGAGCAACCACTTTTCTAGATGCCAACAATTCTCAGTACGAGACAAACATGGTTGTGCTGGAGAAGCATGCACTCATGTCCAGGCCCCTGCAAGTACCAGCCTCAAGGAACCTTGATGTTTTTGGTTTGGTCTCCCTTAGATAATATAACGAAACCACTCTGGCTCATCAGTTTTGGATATAAGTAAAGTCTTCCTGCCACTCAGTAACCCAGAATCCCTATTCTTGTTCACATCTACTCTAGTTTCTCTCTTTTTCTGCAAAAAAAAATCTCCTCTCTGCCCTCCCCCTCAGGATGTTTAATCTCAAAGAAAGCCCCCTGGGTGGCAAAGCAGTTTGCCAGCCACAGTCACCGTGCAACTTCTGGGATTAATCAGTGGCGCTAACTACCACCGAGCCTGCGGAGTCCACCAAGGGATGCCAGCAATTGGGTCAAGCTCACTGGTTCCCAGTGCTCCCGACGCTGCCAGACCCCAAGCCAGTTCTCCAGCCTTGTTCTTCTTTTTGTCAACTGGGCCCTGAAGCACCTCTGCCCGTACGCAGAACTCTACCTGGTCTCAGGGAAATGGCGCATTCATCTTCTGTCAACGACTCTTGCACAAGAAAGCGCACATCTTCGCATGAAGGAGCAGCAGTTTGTAAGCATGGGGTAGCTTAAACTATACTTCTAGAAAACACAACACTGAAAACGCAACAAGCTCTCCAGTTTGCCCTAACACAGACAACTTTCTTATTCTCAGAGAATAAACCATCTCATTTTAGCCTCAGCCATATCCAACACCTTTTCCAGTGTAGTTGCTACTTTATATTTGTTAACCAGGTCCCCTACCCTAACCCTGCCCCATCCATCCGGTGTCCCCCAAACCAAGGGAAGAGTTTCCCATAGTGGATATCCAAATCTCTACTTCTTACTGGAAGGACATTCTTTCTATCTTACACCATTTCCATGAAGGTTAAAAAGATCGTAGGGTCCGTCCTCAGTCAGTTCTCACACTCTTGGTAACTTGTACTTTCCTTCCATGGAAAACTCAGCAAGAATCCCTGAGATAGGAGAGTGGAAGGTTTTCTCTAGGGTTACTGCCTTTTCTCTCCGAGAAGGCTTTTTTCTTTCTTTCTTTCTTTTTTTTTTTTTAAGTAAGGATTTGGCCCATCTTGTTTCAGGTATAGGAATCACAGACTGGAGGGAGTATGGAGGAAGGGGGCAACATACACAGAACACCAAAAAGAGAAATGTCTATTGAAAGAAAGGGAAGGAAAAGACATGGGAGACCAGACTGACAGATAGAATTGGATTCCTTAGAACTGAAGTGAGGGAAAACCATAAGGGCTCTATTACATTATATTTTGAATCTTCTGAAAGAATACCTACACTAACCAGTAGAGAGTGAAGTGACTTCTCACGTAAACTTACAGGTCAGTAAGGACTTCAGTAGCTTTTTGGTTGACTATATCAACTTCAGTTTAGCAAATGGTCTATGCTGTCCTGTGTATAAACTGTTTATTTCCATGTGTCTTGGCAATTTTTTAGTGAGTAAATGACAATGTATAAATCTTTGTGGAATAATCCTTTTAGAGCTTTTTTCTTTTTTCTTTTCTTTTCATCTTCTTTTTTAAATATTACATTCTTCAGGCCAATAATAAAATAGACAATGTCCTGACAAAGCGGATTTTCAAACTGCATGTCACTCAGACATAAGGAGGATTCAACCGACAAGTTGGTAAAGATCCTGCCATTAATATGAAATGGGGGAAAGGTTTATCATTCTTCGGATTGTGGTGGCGGTTTAGGTCCCAGAACTGGAATTAGAACCTTTGGACAACCTCAGTTACTCAAAGAATATCGCCAAGAACAGGGAAATGGTTATTCCCTTAGTTTTGCGTGACAACTGGAACAAACTCTTGATTCAGGTTAAATATTTGGATTGAGTCTGTGGCTTTTCTGTAAATCAGCTTTATTCTTCCTTTCTGACTTTTCAGGGAAGTCAAGCAACTTCTAGAGGTTCTGTGAGAAGAAAGGAAAAGGGAGCAAGTAATTAAGAGGGGTAGAGGAAATGGGGAAGAAAGTTCTTCAATTCCCCTAAAAGGATAGTGATGACATATTCACAACTAAACATCTGAATGCACGATTTCATACAGAATAGGTGATTATGTATGAAAGCAGAATCAGCTGGGAAATCCAGACTGTGTGGTTGGAGAATATGCTGAGAGTTTCCCTTCTGTTCTAGAATAAACTGTGAAGCATATAACAAGGTATTTTAGCAGTATTCTATATAAAAGGAACAAACTCTATATCAGAAATGGACTTTGAGAAACTTCGGGTCATTAGTTATTCTGTTTAAAATTTTTCTTTTATTGCTGACTTGTGCCAATATTTTCTAAAATTTCTTCCAGGAAGGAAGTCCTAGACATTAGAATGTCCAACTTAGATCCTTCCTCCTGAA